ACTCTTACTGTGGGTATTTATGAGATTCTATAGGTTGAACTTTATTAAGTACTTTATTAAGTACTTTTTATTGAATTCTCTCAAAAAGACATTTGTAAGCACCCATGGCATTCTCTTCAACAACACCTGAATCAATATTAATGTCCTAAGTTGACTTGACTTGCTTTATCTTATCACCTTCCTCCTGACTACCTCTGACAGTCAACTAAACATACTCTAGCTTCTCAACTTTAGCAGAAATAAGCTAAGATGCCTAGAGCATTTCTTGTGCTTGCCCTGAGTCTTAAGATCATTTAAGGTTCCTCTCAAATCTAGTCTTTTCCTGACTGATCTGAATACGGCATTTGTCCATTCCCACAGGTCCAGCTCTCAGTTTTTGTGTTTGGATGTGGGTGGTGGAAGGAAGCAATCACATTTATGTCCAAAAAGTACTTTTTCCGGCAGTGTCTTTAAACATTGCCTGCCATAGTCCTGGGCTTTGTGGCAGTGCTTCTGGAACCACGTTAGGGGACAGAAGTGGAGAGGAAGGAAGGGCGTTAGAAAGGAGAGGCGGCAACAGAGAGGCTCTACTTCTGTTTCACAGATTGCCTGTTGGTTGGGAAAAGTTGGGGATGGGGTCCTATGGCTAACAACAGATTGGAAATGAGTGTGGTAATCAGAATATTTCTAAAAGTAAAAACAGGTTCTGATAGAGCTTCGGAGAGATTTGGAAACAGGGAAAAACGTTCTGTGAGTAAGGTGAGCAGTATCATTCCTTTAAGAAAAATTGGGGTGATTATTAAATGGCAAACCTGGCATATGCTCTAAAAGGCAGCTCACTGGTATTTTTTCTGACTTTTTTCTCTCCTTACCTTAGGACCTTTTGTCTTCTCATTAGCACCTCCACCAGGGTTGGAGCTAGGGAAGAGAAAGGAAGTGTTCAGACATGTGCCTATTTGCATAGTCACTGCATTAAGTTAGCGCCAGGACAGTGCAAACATTCTGTCCAGTTCTATAGAAAAGCCAGTTTCACTCCATCAGTAAGATATTATTTTTGTTTTTATCATAGAACAGTTTATTGGCCAAGCTTCTCTTAACTGTACATTACAAATAGTGTCTGATTAAGAATGTTCTGGATGGGTTAATTAGTGTGGTGACTATTATTAAGCAAACTGCTTGTTAGTATTATGCCTATTTGATCTTGGTATTGATGCGAAGTAATTGACCATAGAGCTGCATGTAGAAAAGCTGGAATAAAGTTTTTTGATTTCTTTTATGGCAATAAATTGTTTACATTAAACATGTCCATGAAAATATGAGTTTCATGGCACAGAGAATCAGAATAGACTCTATGTGGGATGCTGGATGAAGACTTGTTTTGTTTTGTTTTTTTAGAAATATTTATACGTTTGTCCAGCTTGCTTCAAGACCAGCTTTGATGAAACAAAGTAAAAAATTACTTCAGCTCACTGCTGCAGAGTATATGAAATCTAAAGTGATTTTAATTTCCCTCACCTACAGGACCTATTTTATTTCAGATTTAGCTAATTGCCTAAATACTACTTTGGGTAACAATCACTATATATAAATAGACTATTAAAGAAAAATATGAGAATATATTATAAACAAGGAAAGCATAGCATGTAACCACCTTCTTTCAAGTAGTGGATTATTATCTATATTATTTATTCGTATTTTGTCCAGTTCTCTTATTAAGTTTCCCTAGCTATAGCATTTCCATAGGGAATTTATTCCATGAGCTAATAAATTATACTATCAGGGAGTTTTTCTTGAAATTCAGCTTAAATTTTCCCATTCTTAATTTCATCTCATTATTCCTAGTTATACCCCCTTGTACCAGGCTAAATAATTATTCTCTTTCCTTGGAGACTCCTATTATGTACCCCTCTAGTTGTCACTTAACCAGGCTATTCATATTTAGCTCCTTTAATCTGTCCTCATAAATCAATTCTTCCATTGCCTTAATCATTATTATTGCTCTTCTAGGAACTCTCTAATTTTCAAACATATACAGTTATCAGGTGCCCCAGATGAAATCAGTATTTGCACAGTCTTCCGTCCCCACAGGCTTGGTATCTTCCTTCCCTGTACAACATGATCTGTGACAAAGTGGCATCACTTTGCTGGGTCAAATCAACACAAGCTCATCTTGTCAAACTCCAGACAACATAGTATTTTCCGTGGGTCCTACTTGCATTCAGCTTTATTTTTATTTTTTCAACTTCGTAATATTAATCAGCTGAGTGTTTGGATACTGTCCATATTTCTATTCTGCATCTTTCCTTGTCCTTATTCACCACCACCTATCAAGTCAGTCATCCACAACCTGTGTTAACGTGGGATTCCGTTTATCCTGGAGAACATTTAGGAAACGTGTTGAATAAAAGCAGGCCTAGCACCTTGCCCACAGCTAAATTCCTTGTCAGTTACCAATTCCCATTGTTTACAACCCTTTAGCCAATCTCCCGTCTCTTTTAATTTGCAATTTTGCTCACATGCTGGCCAATATAAATGGATTTTATGAGTAAGATGGGTCAAGATACTGTTTTCTAAAATGAAGATATGTTGTTTCAATGCCCATTGATTTTTTTTCATTGTGAATCCTTTGTGCACTAAGTTTGTAATTCTGTTAAAATCCTTTTTAAGCTTGCCTGGCTTTCTTTATCTGACATAAACAAATAGGTTATGTTGCTCGCTTTATTGTTGTTTTCCAGCTACATACAGATGTTCCTTCTCTTACCATTTGTTCCTTTTGTTAAGGAGAAGTTGAAGATCTTGTTGTAGTCTTTTTTTTTTTCTTTTTGCCTTTTGTGGTGATCGATGGAACTTCTTTATTCATTTTTAGTTCCTTAGAATCTCCTCAGTATTTTGAATTTGTTTCAGGAAGAAAGTTGGTTAGTTCCCTTAAATATTTTGGACCTGTGAGATCTGACACTGTAATCTGTTTATGCCCATGTTTCTTTCCATTTTAAATCAAGCATTAGTGTATTATTATATTAGGGCATACCAGGGGTGTTAGGACCATTCTTCCAATCTACCTAGAGTCATCTACTTATTACTTGGGGCGGCGACAGGCACTGTCCTTATATATTCAGGTGATTTTTCTCAAAGGGCTTTATGAAACAAGCACAGAAGTCCCAAAACAAGCTTTTCGATTCTGGAAGGTACACAGGATACTACAGCCAGACTTTGTTTCCAGCTCACAGTATAATCCCCACTATTCCGTAGCGTGGCTCATCAGCCCTCACTTTCAGAACTTGTGAACAGAGCCCTCTCCCCAACTGCACACTCACTGTTCTAATCCCTCCGCTCACTTCGTAAACTCCCATCTCTGCCTCTACTCACCTCTCTTGGAATAGATGGCCTTGCCTGATGCTTTGGTGGCATGCCTTAGATTCCACCCCTGCCTCCTGAAACTGTTTTTCAGCTTCATTTTTTTCTCCTTCTTCCCTCAGCTTTGTAAAAGAAGCTCAGTTTATTCTCTTTTATACTTTCCCCCCGCACCAGGAATCCTACTCTTATCACACATTATCTTGTTTTCCTACTTCCGTCTTGTAAGACTTTTCTCTTTCTTCAGGATTCTGCTCCCTTCCCCAGCAAGTATCCCCAAGTGAACACCCCTATGTTCACGGGCCCCGTTAAAGAATATCTGACCCTGCCTTCCCTGCTCTTCTCCTCTCCACGACTCTTTCTCCATCTCTCTCTCTCCCTCCCTCTCTCTGTCTGTCTGTCTCTCCATCTCTCTGTCTCTCTGTCTCTCTCGCACATACCCTGACCTGTACTCTGGTTTCTGCCTACCCGACTCCACAGGAACTGCCCTTGGGGTGCCCAGTGATCTACCGTGTCATGTCAAAAGCCGCTTATTGTCTTTGGTGTTGGAGCTCCTCTGTAGTGTTTTCCACCCCTTTTTAATGCATTTTTAAGAACTCTGGATTCTTTTTTTTCACGCATTCTTTTGGGGCTCTTAATTCGCTTAATCCTCACCTACCTCTTAAATGCATATACCATCTATTTCTTCACCTACTCAACAATCCAGGGAAGAGGCTGAGTCTCTGCGTGGGCCTCAGGGACTCTGAGAAAGCACTTGTCTGACTCAGATCCCGGGACCTGGCCCCAGCCTCTTTGGGTTGAATATTATTCCCTGAAGAGTTCCTGTTCTCTCACACTGTCCCTTCAGTCCAGAACTTCTGCCTTTCAAAATCCTTCATCTAAAACTCTCTTTAAGCGTTTACTGATCCCCAAATCAGAATCTGTAGTTCTCAGTTTTAAAAGTTAGAATGTCCATTCTTTATATACTGTGTTCCACCACACAGGTTATTGGCTGTTCTCATGTCAGTCTGTCACTCTGTCTTTTCTAAGCACTACTGATTGGCTCCCCAGTAAGTGGTGAACTCCTTGATTTCATTTTAAATAGATGCTTCTATCAATAAGATATTGAACTCTGTATGACAAAGCATTATGGGAAGATAGGGGAGAGATGATAATGAAAACGATATAAAAATTTATTTCAAGAAATATTAGCAAGTTCAATTCAATGAAAAGTGTATGCAAGTGCCCAGGAGTACAAAACAGTCATATGAGCAGAAATATCCAGTGTTAATCAAGGACATTTGAACCATTTTTGTAGGTTAATGAACAAGTGTGTCTTGAAAATAAGCGCTGGACCATGTGGTAACTGGAAAATGCAAAATGGAACTCCAGAAAGATGAGTTCAGGAGGTGTGATAAACCATCACTCTACTCTTATTTTTTATGGTGTTGCAGAGGTTTTATAGCCATAGAATCTCTTCAGAAACCATTCAAAAACCATCTGGTCTAATTTTAAACTTTTGAACTTTCTCTTGATGGCTACTACTTTTTGCACTTTTTCTGGAATTTTTGTGATATCTTTAGTTTCTTTTTTCTCAGTGTTGTACGTCATCATCATGTCCTTACAGAAAGGTAAAGGAGAAATAAATAGTATTTTCACTAAAAGTATATTGCATTTCCTTTTTGCAACAGATTCATGCCCAAGCACAAGAACGCCCATTTACAGAAGATGCTCAGCCTCAAAGGAAATGACAGTGCTGCTCCATCCGTAGCCCTTCCTGCCCAACAGGAGCAGAGAAGTTCTGAGGATTTACGCAAGGATTTTGATTTGGAGTCTGGACCTTGTGATGCTACACGACAAGAAAACCTGGGTAGCTCATTAATGCAGGAGTCATACTTGAAAATGTGCAACTCATCAGATCATTTGAGTTCTCATCATGGGGAAAATAAACAAAATCCATGTGACATTTTGAGTGGAGTTGATCAACAAAGACCATTGCACATTGTCTGGCCTCACAGGTGGTAAGTTTAAGACACACTAATTCAGTAAAAGTGGTAGCACTGGTAAAAGAAAGTATGTTCTGATGACTGACTTAGTAATTTGTTGTCCCTATAGCTTTAGAAAAGGATCATTTTAATATGTCAGTACTACTAATGTAGTGCTAAGGTGGTACTACTCAATAACTTTATATAAATAGCTGTGTACTTAAATTTGAATTACAGATAATTATTTGCAGTGATTTGCTCAACTAACAAGAGTAGCTAAGCACTTCTGGGAAATGAGATCTTGTTCAAGAAGTTTCAGAGTATAAGAATAGGATTCCATATTTTTATATATATGTGTGTGTGTGTAGATATACGTATGTGTATATATACTGTTACAGAACTATTTTATACGTATACATTGCTAAAGCAGTATTACCATTAAAACAAACAATTTCCATTATTTACTAATTTGACCAATTTCAACTGGGTACCTTTATTTCAATTGTCATAATATATATCAGTACTTTTGGAACTGTTTTCCTTCTCCCAATTGCCTCTGTATTGTGTAAGCAAAATACCTTCCAGCAGAATCTTTTCTCAAGAGAGGAAAATCAACTGCAGCATGTAATCGCACCAAATATAAACTCATAAACTTAACCCGGGCTCCTATAAATTAGGATTTAAAGAGGTAAAATGTCCTGATAATCTTCTGGTATTAGGCACGAACATTTTAATCTAGTTTTTATTCCTCCCAGTTAGTTTAATCTGCATGTGGCCTGATTAGAGTTCACGTCCCCCCCAGATTATGGTCTCTTTATTGCAGAGATGCTGGGCCGATCATTAGGTCCGATTTTCTGAGATCAACTGTTTACAGGTGAAGCAATAAGCACGCCACACCGGCTGGGCAAAGCGCCTTTGCCGAGGATTTGACTTCCAGCACATTAAAACTCCAGAAACTCTCCCCGTTGATCTGCAGCATCTGGTACCTAAAGAGATTTTTGTCTTTGACTCTAAATGTATGAATGTAAAATCTAGGGATTGAAAGTTGATGTGGAATATGTCTTTGGGTTTGTCTATTCAACTTCATACTTCCAGCATAGCCTTTCTAAGGGAGTACCGTTTATTTTAAAATCATGTTTTACTTAGATTGTGACAGTGTTCAGTATTCTTTTATGTTGTTTTAAAATGCAGTGGATCTGGATGAGATTAAGCTGTTTCAAGGTAAAATAGATGTCATCATTTACTCACTTCTGAAAAGCTTTTCCTTTTATTCTACTGACCTTTGTTTGTCTCTGAAGTAATATTTATTGTAAGCCACTCAGTTCTAAAAAGTTTGGTTCTAGGTTATCATAAAAATTCTAAATTGATTAATTTGTAGACTCCTATTGCAAAACAGCATACTGATATGTAGGAAAGAGTGAGAACCACATTATCCAACATTTTGCACCAAATAAGACAGAGCTATGTTAATAAAATTAATAATATTAAATTGAATAATTCCCTCTCTTCCTTTGTAAATTTTTGCTTTAATTTAATTTAATTGCCTAAAGTTAGTTGCTTAAAGAGATGCAACATTATGTTTGCACACATTCTTATTGTCAAAGCTAAATTATTTTTAATTTGGAGAAGAGGGGAAAAAGCCGCATCAGCAAGAGTAAATGCCAAAATATAGAAGTAACACATTCATCCTTACGGGTAATATAGTAGAACATTGGAAACTTGGAGGTTGCCAGACACATAGCTAACATTAGGGCTAATTTTGAAAATCTAGCGTGCAGTCAATTTTACTGATGCCTGGGGACATACAAGGTAGAAGCTGACAAGAGAACTAATTTTGTTTGGGTTATTTACTGCTATGCATCATCCGCGGGTTCCCGCCTGACACACAGCTATATGAAGGGGGATATTATCACACACTAAAAATTTATGTTGACATTCGATATTTGTTCAATATGTCAGCAGTATTACTTTCATAATCAAAAGAGTAAGAAAAAGAGAAAAGAAAAGCACTTTATGCTCATATAGATATATCTTTTTAATAACAGTCTATAAGGTTAATATAGTTTACCTTTGAGAGTATACAATGAAAACAAGCAGGGTTAGGAGGGGAAATGACAGAAAGCATCAACCCAAGCGGTTTGTTTGCCATTACCTAAGCGAGCCATGTCAGCTCTCTGGCCCGCGTCTGATAGCTATTTGTTGTACAGAGAGCACAGCATAAAAAAAATATCAAACTCTTAATACTATTGTGTGCCCATAACCATCTGTCACTGCTAGCCTGGAGATGAGAGGAAGATTACGAGGAATAAACACTGAGCCGCCGAGCATTGGTAAAGCCTTCGGGCAAAAAACTCTTGTGGGGACATCAAAGACATTCTAATTCCGAGGCAGTCAAGGATTACAGTGTGTAACCTGTGCTGACAACAGATAAATGACTGGCAATATTGTGCCAGAGCTGTTGGGTCCTGCATGGAGTACTGATGATGATGATGATGATGTTATCTTGCAGAATGGACTCTGCTGGGATAATTTTATGATAAAACACTTTTTTCAAATGCCAGTGGGTCTAGGCAGACATTTACTAGCTACAGGGGTAGCAATCAGTTTCTTCAAAATTTACTTTGCTAAGCCCATTAGAGTTCCAACGCAGCAAGACTCTTCAATGAAAATCTAAAACGCCTATATTTTCTTTAGGAGAATATATGCAAATGTAGTGAGCTGAACTCCTACCCTTTAGTGGTAGATGCTTTATCATCTGATTTATGTAAATTTGCTCATAAAAATACAGTTTATTTTTAATTGGTGAATGTGAATTAGAAAATTAAGATTCTGGTTCAGCATTCATCAAACATCCCCAGTTACAAGCACACATTTATTTAGACCTCTGATCGCATGGGTGGAAATCATATAATTGTCCAGTCAACACGAATCGTATTCTAAAGGAAACCATGGTTTCTACTAGAAATGACCAGGGCTGTGTTTCTTATTCACCCCTCTTAGTTTGAGCCTCACCCATCCTTCGCTTCACATGTTCTTGTTAGTATTATGAGCTACTTGCTACCTGCTCGAAGAGGGGTTTTCTTTAGAATAGCCTGCAGGAAGATCTACAGTCTATTGCATTTTTACCTTGGCATGTATGTTTTCCAGAGAGAAGGTATTTATTTCAGAACAGAGAATGTGTTGTTCATTGTTTCCCCTGTAAACAGAAGGGAGAAATGGACACTAGAGAGGACAACAGGATTCTGAGAGCCTGTCACTAACCTTGCCTAACAAAACAAAAATAATACCCTCCTCCTTATCATAAAAAATATGCCCATGAAATCATGCAGTTGTGGTAGCCAACTCTAAAAATGAAGTGATGCTGAGCTCATTGTGTTCTTTCCACTCTGGGATCATGAATGATCTAAAATATAGCGTTAGCCTCTAACATATCTCGTACTAAGTCAACCAAATGTAGACCCTACTAGCTAGGATATGTATCAAAATCAAAAGTGACGTTTTCTAGAAGATACATTCTGGCTTTAAATCTGTGTTAAAATGTCTGTGCATGAGAACAGGCCCTTAAATGCAATGCTTGCCCCCTCTCTTCATTCTTTCTGAATCTGAGCTTGTCAAGGATTATAGTGTGCAACCTCTGCTGACAGTAGATAAATAACTGACAGTATTTTAGCAGAGTTGCTGGGTTCTCTGCAGAGTAATTTGTTTTCTCCTTTCTACCCAGTCTTTAATGTTTTGTTATAAACATCTATAGCAAGGCATGGTTAATAGAAATGACTTATAGAGAAAGACCTGTAAAAAATAGACTGCAACTGGCAATGCCTTTTTTTTTAACTATTTTCTTTCCAAATATTACACAAATATAATATTGCACCAGATTCCAACCTTTATGTAAATGTTCTCCTTATTAAAATGGGCACAAAAGACACATTGCTGGAGGGACAGAAAAAACAAGTTTACAAGACACTGAAAGATAGCACTCTCAAGGCTGCGGTTCTCAAACTCTTTGATCTCGAGACCCCTTCACATTCTTAGAAATTATTGGGACACCAAAGAACTTTTGTTTATTGGGGTTATACCTATCAATATTTACTATATTAGAAATCAAAACTGAGGAAAAATTTTAAAATCTATATGAAATGATTTAAAAGTAACAATAAAGAACCAAATACCTGTTAACGTTACTATATTTTTATGAAAAATAACTATATTTTACAAAACAAAAAAGTAGTGAGAAGAGTGACATTATTTTACCAAATCTTGTAAATCTATAATGTCTGTCTAAGTAGAAGAGAGTTAGATTCTTACATCCGCTTAAGTATTCCATCGGTTGCATTATGTTGTTTTGGTGGAAGTTTAGAAGAAAATTCTGCCTCATGAAGAGATAGACATGGAAAAGGAAGGAGTGTTTTAATGACCTATTCAGATTATTGTAGATATTCTTCGTTGATACTACACCACAACTTGACAATTAGGAGTTTCTTAAAGGTTAGTCTGAAACCACTCAATGACTCATCATGCTCTGTTACTTGTTGTTTAAATGGATTTTCTAACATCATGCATTGGTCACTTGGAAAATACAGGTTCACTGAATTAGGCAGATCTTCCAAATGTTGACCTAATTCATTATTTTAAAGAATCATGTTGTTAATATCACCACTAATATCAGAGAAATTTTTGATTATTGGGAAGTTGTCAAGCTCACAATATAGATAGAATTTTTCCAAAATTCTAATTTTCAATTAAAACCTTGAGTTTATCATTGCAACAAATATTATCAGTTATTTCTTTGAAGTGACAGATTCACATAGTTCATATTTGAGAAAATGTCTGCCAGATACCTAAATCTGGTTAACCATGGGTTATCTATCAGTGGTTCTTTTAAGTAAAATCGATATTTCATGAAAAAAAACAGCTAGTTTAGCTCACAACTCAAACAATCGTATAAATACTTTTCCTCAAGGCAGCTTGTACCTTGATATGCAAAGGTGCTTTCTATGTATTTCCAATTTTATCACAAGAATATTAAAAGAAGTTTC